GGGGGAAGGAAGAAGGAAGAAGGGAGGAAGGAGGAAGGAAAGAAGGAGGAGGGAGGGAGGAAGGAGGGAGGGAGGGAGGAAGAAGGAAGGAAAGAAGGAGGAAGGAGGGAGGGAGGAAGGAAAGAGGGAGGAAGGAAGGAAGAAGGAAGAAGGAAGGAGGAAGGACGGAGGAAGGAGGAAGGAAGAAGGAAGGAGGAAGGAAATTTGTTCAGTGTCCCTGCCTGGCCACGGGCCCCCAGCCCCATGCGACACCCGGCTGTTGGGGTAGGCTGGAACTTGGATCCTTACGTAAAATATTAGCATCTGACATGACTTGGAGCTTATCGTGTGTTGGTTCTGCTCTGAGTGCTTTCTGTATACGAGTTCATTTAAACCTCACAGCAACCCTGTGAGGCGGGTATTTTCATTATCATCTTCCTTGCGCAGGTGAGAGGTTAAGCCACTTGTCCAGGGCTAATGAGTGGCCACCGGTGTTGGAGACCCGGCAGTGGCTGAGAGCCCAGACCCCAGAGCCCTGCCCCGCCACGCTGCGCTGCACGGACCAGCGCGGGCGCCCGCACTTCCCCAGGTCCCCTGCAGGCCAGCGGACGGACCTCCCCGCAGGCTGCCGTTTGCACCCAGGGGCTCGACCGAGCCACCAGCTCTTGGGGACTCACCCAACGCCGCAGGCAAACAACCTGGTGTGGGGGAGGCTTCTCTTCACAAGCTGCATCGTGAGGCTCTCATCCTGCAGGTGCCCGTCAGACACAAGGAGAATGTCCCGTGACCCTTGGCAAGGGTACAGCAGACTTAAATATCGGAGCGTTTTCCAGAACTCTGTGTTGCCCATGGTGGGCGTGGCAGACTGGAGGGAAGAAGGGGAGAGATGACGTTCCCCTCTCAGGTGTGCTCACCGTTCCTACAGCTTCACGTCTCCTAAGGAGGGCTTAGAGAACGCATCTTTTCCCCTAATTATACATTTGGGGGACAACAACGCTTCTATCCTTTCAGTTTATTTCGGGTCACAGTAACTATAACATCACCACTTGGCACTTAGTTGCTCTTTCACAGTTTCCAGAGAACTACTAGATCCATGGGGAAGAAACGTCCCATTAGAGCAGCCCTCGCCTTGCCAGCCTGCGTGAGGCGCTACTCGTTCGCGCAGCTTGTTCTATTTTTTGTTTTGTTTTGTTTTGTTTTTGAGACGGGATATCTCTCTTTTGCCCAGGCTAGAGCGCAGCGGCGCCATCATAGCTCGTTGTAACCTTGCATGTCCGGGCTCAAGCGATCCTCCTGCCTCAGCCTCCTGAGTAGCTGGGACTACAGGTGTGCGCCACCATGCCCGGCTAGTTTTTCTGTTTTTTGTAGAGACGGGGTCTTGCTCTTGCTCAGGCTGGTCTGGAACTTTTGGCCTCAAGCAATTCTCCTGCCTCAGCCTCCCAGAGTGCTAGGATTACAGGCGTGACCTTGCTTTATTTTAAGAGAAAGAAAATAAAGGACAGAAGAGAACTTTCCAAAGCTGTTAAAGCTAGTTGGGTGGTGGGACCATGGGTGATTTTTTTTATTCCATTCTTTTTAATTTCCATTTTTTGCTTAATGAGTCCATATGACTTTTATTAATGAAATAAAGAACCCACCAACATGCAAACACTGAAGGACTAGGAGTGTCTGGCGGCTTCAGGGCGGTGGGCCCGGAACAGCGCCATGAGACCGTGACTGCAAGAGGCCGAGGCAGGCTCTCGTACTCACCGTGATGAACTCTGCTGGCGCGACACTGCTTGTGATGTACTTGGGATATGAAAATAACTCCTTGTAACCTGTGCGATTAGATCAACACGGGGTGCTGTCATCGAATGTGCACCTGCTTGACCACTAACAAACAATAGTGCTACTTCATACCACTGCCATCGTAAAGCATGTTACATATTTACGTGCGTGCCTTCCTTTTTAGAAAACCATGTTTGATAATTTTAACATACAAGAAATTCTCCACGGTATTCCTCTAAATACATTTTAGGGCAATGAAACTGAGCAGTTTGGTATGCAAAATGTTCCGAGTGAAATTCCACGTGGAGACCTCCTCTCTGCCGCACAACTTGCGCAAAGCAAGGCGCAGGGTGTCTCAACAGCGCAGGCAGCTCGGCCCGGCAGGGCACAGTCTCTGCCCGTGCCGCTGTGACCTCTTGTCCCAGCAGCAGAGACCCAGCTCTGTCGCACAGGGGCTGGGCCTTCTGCTGGTGGCACGGAACATGAGAATCAAGAGGACGGGATTGTCCCCTCATTCCACACTATGTTCCTTCTCTCTTCCCTGAAGTGCCACCTTCTGGTGGCTGAGATGTCCCTGGGCTCCAAATGGAGGGTGGCATTACCTTCCTTCCGACAGTGGCGAACTGACGCTCCCTGAGACCATCCCTCACAGATTTTCTATGACCGTGCCGATTACAAATGTTCTGTTCTTAGCTTTGGGACCCTCCTACTCGACAGAGTAAGGGTCTTGCCCTGGTTCAGTTGGTAATAAGAACCACAGTAACATTTATAGCTCATCTACTATGGAACAGGCACTGTCTAAAACCCTTTCCCTACATTAGGCCAATCCTCATAATAACACTGTGAGTTAGGGATGATTATCCTTGGATTACAGATGGGGAAACTGAGGTGCCAAAGGTTCCAGTAGCAAGCCCAAGGCGACACAGACACGTGCAGCTTATAAGTCGTACAGCTGGGATTGGACCCAGTGGATCTAGCTCCGGAGTTCTTGTTTGTCGGTTTCATGCCAGGCAACCTCTCTCCCCACGAGTGAGGTCTGGTACTGACAGTCATCGGCTCTGCACGGCGTGTTCACACAGGGAGGAAGCACACGTGGGACCAGCGCCAATGCGCACTCACCTGTGCCGAACTGGACGACGTTTACTTTTTGCGTCTCACCCACCAAGGACAGTGCGTGCAAGGTGATTTGCTTGGCTTGCAAGAATGTCACACCCTCCATGGAATTGGAGCAGTCGAGACAAATAATCACTTCGCTGTTGCTGGTGCGGTCGGGGACGCCGACGTGGAGGTCGGGTTGAAAGACGAGCATGCACGCCTGAGAGGACAAAGAACTGGAACTGGAAAAGATCTACTTGCAAAACTCTAAAACTTTCTAGTGAGGTGAACTAATGCTATCAAAACAAAAAGAATAGGATTGATTTCACAGTGAGATGGCCTACCAGGAGTTCAAGTCAAAAGTGTCATGTTAGAGCTGGAATTTCAACACGTAACTCCCCAGAAGTCAAGAATTAATAGAGCATTATTAATAATATCTGAAAAATCATACAGCATCAACACTGTCCACAGAACAAATGTGTCTCTCACACACCCACTATTCTAAAAGGAACGTAGATACTATTGTGATTACTAAAATATGCCCACATACTTTTAGTTTTATTAATTAACCTACACTTCAAGTATAACTACCTTTTTTTGAGACAGAGTCTCACTATGTTGCCCAGGCTAGAGTGCCGTGGCGTCATCCTAGCTCACAGCAACCTCAAACTCCTGGGCTCAAGCGATCCTCCTGCCTCAGCCTCCCGAGTAGCTGGGACTACAGGCATGCGCCACCATGCCCAGCTAGTTTTTTCTATATATTTTTCGTTGTCCAATTAATTTTTTTCTATTTTTAGTAGAGACGGGGTCTCGCTCTTGCTCAGGCTGGTTTCGAACTCCCGAGCTCAAACAATCCACCCGCCTTGGCCTCCCAAAGAGCTAGGATTACAGGCGTGAGCCACCGCGCCCAGCCCATCACATAAGTTTTGATTTTGATTTTGGCTTTAGAAGTGATTCCTTGTCACAGTCACACAAAATGGTCTTAGGCCTAGACATAATTTTTTATTTGTTTCTCCAATATCAACATTTAAAAAGTATAGAAAGTACGCAGACTACCCAACATAATGTCTGATGGCAGATGCTCTTAGTAGTGGGGATTAAGGTAAGAAACGACCATCTTTACAGAGAAGGGAACATGGGGATTTTGGTTGGCACCTCAGAAGTATTGTCATGTTTGATGGCATTAAGTATTTTTAGTTACAGAAGCTTGGGGTGTTAGAGTTCATTTTGTAATGCTAGTTTTTCCAGACAATAAATAATTTCCAAATGTAAATAATCTACTTATTCTAAATATTTTCCCAATAATGTCTCCTACTTTTTTTTTTGAAACAGAGTCTCGCTCTGTCACCCCAGCTTGAATGCAGTGGCATTATCATAGCTCACAGCAACCTCAAACTCCTGGGCTCAAGCCATCCTCCTGCCTCAGCCTCCCAGTATCTCCTGCTTCTAAGTAAGAAGAAATATACCTCGCTTTCTTTGTCCGGATGTTTTTCGACCCACATTCTTGGGAGATATGCATTGGACAAACCGACGCGGAGGGAAAATCCACTGCTGTCTAGGGAGCTGCCTTCCGCAGTGCTGACTACAGCCGTGCAGTCTGTGCGCTGTAAGACAAACCACCACGATAACGGGGTAAATAACGGAATGGTACCATTTTATCAGTTCGCACTTACCTGGCAAGTAGCAAACCCTTGCACAATTTATACAACTCTGTTAAGAATCAACAATGTAGTAGTAAATTACAAAGTTATGAAATGCAGGTTTTAGAAGTAAGACCATGATCATATCAGTTACCCTCCAGAAATTCTAAGGTTGATTTACACAGTCAAATTTGGGTAGGTTGAAGACAATCTCAAACCCTGGATCCAAAGATTATAGACCTGTGCATTCGGTTAGACTTATCTGGTTATAGCTGAGAGCACACCAGACATCAAAACCTAAAATAGTAAAATAGAGAATTCAACAGACATCTTAGAATTATACCTTATTTGTAAATT